TCTATAAGTGTACAATTTTTTTAAACATTTAATTCCGGTTACAGTTTTAGCCATAATTGGATCGCTCTTAAGCCACAACCCTAATTACTTCAGAACAAAGTGATTTAATGATCCATAATTAGGTTCGAATAACGCCGAGGTGAATTTAATTACAATAATTGACATAAAATACGAGTTTTCACAATGAGTTTCCATCGTTTTTTCTTTCATTACTCCGTTACACAATCGAATACATTAACCATACGCACTGCGTAAATTATATTATCAATCAATAATTTTTCAAATTGACAAATTGCCTTTGCGATAATATAGGAGCAATCAGGGTTACAAGCGGTGCTTTTCCAATTAAATACGCTACCGTTCGTATTAACCAATCAATAATATGCTAAAACCATAATCAGCTTTCCATATTTTTTTCGTAAACCAACGCAGAGACGTGTTATGTGGTCAGCAATACACAGAAGTGACAAGGCAATTATCAAGTTACGTTTGCGTCGGATTAAACGATTCGAATGGTGCATAAAAATCACTTCGATACGATGGTCAACCGCCTACTTATCACGAATATGATTAGTTATAATTTACAATAAAATTCCTTATTAAAGAGACCTTCGTCGGTCAAGTTCCGGGTTCACTTGTCAATTAGTGGATCATAAAAAATTATTTATGCATCAATTCAAATCGAGCGGAAAACATGTTTATTTCATTAACCCATTTAATTATTTCAAGAAATTAGATGTAATTTGAACGCGTTTTTTAAAATTTTCAGTACTGGCGTCAATTCAGGAGTTAATCTGAAAGGCAAGAAAACAATTTTTCAATATATCACCATTATATTATACCTATACAGAAGAAAAGTTTGTTTCTAACCTAAGATGATTTTATCTGATTATCAACTCGAAACTGAACATCACATTGCTGTGTCTCTGTACCTGAAGTATCTGAAAAGAGTGAAAGGTGTGACATGAAGAGATAAGATATAGAAAGGGAATTGAATATTGTTGCGTATCTTTATTGAGAAGAGGCAATAGGGTTACTTACATAGGATGCATGATACTAGATAACTAAAGCAGGTGTGGCAAGTTAGGTTTTAGGGAACAAGAAGAAGAGGAACACCATAACACACTCGGGACATCCAGAAACGGAATCTATCCAGAAAGCCAGAAATTTAGACAGAGTACATGCAGTTTATTGAAGCTTAATAACCTACACCATATATGTATGAGTCAGATATACATAGGTAAAGGTACCGGGTAAACACCGAGATATGTAGTGAGACAGCAGCTTAAGGTAGACATCTTGAGTGTATAATTTTGTAATAATATTTGACCTCTTGCGATTTCTAGACTTCTGAATTTCTGTTCTCAATAAGACTTATTGGCATTAATGACCTAAAACAACTCATTAGAATGGTTGTTCAGAAAAGTGTGTGCAATCTACGACTTGTATAGTGAAGCGATTTCACAGATACAAGGAGTTTAGATATGTAGTGTAATAGATTCATTTGGACTTGTGTATACAATATGTGTTACTATGTTATTAAAATAAAATTCAACCTCATGTAAGTCGTAGGATCTTAATAAATATGTTGACCAATGTTAATAAAAAAATGTATAGAAAACCATTATGAAAATTTGTGAGTTAACAACTAAGGCGGCCAAATTAACGAACTCTTGGTCAAGATGCGTGCCGAAAGGAATTTTGTAATTTAAAAGCTAGATTCTACTTCAATTGTGACATTCATAAACATCTAAAACAAAAAATCTTTGATTTATAATGAAATTAAAAGATGTAAACGAACAATCAAACAACAATAACAATAAAATAAAGAATAATTAATTCAAGATTAAAGGACATTAAGAACAAGATAAAACACAATAATTTAATAATACAATTCTGTTCGTTCCACCCTGTATATAATAGAATTCGATTTAGTTGCTATACATTTACATAAAGCTCCATTTCCAATCAACACAATTCGTTACACGTATAACAAATGATACTGTCTTTACTTAAGCACAATAATTGGTCAGTGGCGATTGTCTCTCATTTTTGTAATTCTTGTCTGATCTCGTGCGTTCGTGCCGGCAAAGAGTAATGGCAAAGCGATAACAATGGCGCTGAAATAGAACTTTATGGGCTTGGATAAATCAAAACGGCGAAATGCTGAGGTAACGTGTCCTTGCCGAAGAAATCCAGATAAAGCCTAATTAAGCGTTGCATTGTGGACGACGACAAAACCTATATCTACAACAATCGATTATTCGCCCTGGTTTTTTTCCTTTTCTTCTACGAGTCGGTAATCTGAATGCCGCGAATTCTTTCAGTGACAGAAATGCCCGGGACCTTTTCCCTATCAATCAGATCGCCAATTGTAAACGCCTTTTTGTGCGAGGTTCCCGGAGATAATAAATTATTTATCATGGAAAGGATATCGACCAGTGTCACGACGCCTTAAGAAACGAAACGATAACTGATTTATGGTTAATGTTTTGATATCAAGTTGTGTTATTTTGAAATGATTTTTTAATAAATCATCTAAGAAAAGTAAATAATGCAACGAGTTGATTAAATTACTTTTTTATAAATTTATTGTTCATTATACTTTATTAATTGATGTCGATTTTTTATTGTTTTTGTTTCAAGGCTTGAAAGTTTAAAAAATTTCGTTCTGAGAAAGAACTTTCAAAGTTTATCCGGCTTCTTATTGGGTCATGTACTATTTATTTGAGTTTATTACTAAAAAGAGAGAACTTGAAGGATTAAAGAAAGGAAAACAATATTAAACATTTTTAGGGAAACAAACTTTTTCGTTCCAAATGAAATTAATTTAAAAATTCCACTGTTCAAACAACGAATCTACACTGCCTCGTCGTCTCGAATTCAGTTGAAACCCTAATTTAAAACCGGGGACATTTCGCGCATTCCAAAAGCATTTCTTTCCAAAACCTTTCGTCACGTCGCCTCGTATCGCATTCATTAAGCATAACTTGGCGTTAAATTAAATCAGCACTGTGCGCGCAAGAAAAGAGCCAATTATTCTTTGCGACCCGTATGTACATAATTGCATAGTTAATGAACCGCCCACGTATATATCTCGATGAAGTGTATCATAATTCAAAAATCCGAAAAAAAACTAAATATAATTGCGTCAAAAAGCTAGAGGCCGCGACCTCAGCTTTAACTGTTCCATTTACGCGCGATACAGAAACAAAGAGTTTGGAACGCGTTTATCGATAAAGTTCTCAATGGTTTTAACTGAGGCATTTGGTCGCGGTCCACCAACACGATTTTAAAGCTAAAAAAATCGGCCGGGAAAGTCGATTAACTGCATTAGAACGCAGTTGAGGGCGCCACCTTTAAAAGAATGGGCGTGTTGTGCCGTTTCTTTGATCGCGAAAAAACCACTTTATTGTTTCAGGTTATAGATTTCATTTTGTATGGAAGGTGGAGTATGGATAATTTAAGAATGTGTCGATACATTATAATTACAATCCATTTATTTTAAAAATAAAATTTTCACCACTTTGTAATGAATGAAGTTTAGTAGAATTGTAATAAAACAAAATAATTCAATACATGTAAAATTATGTAACACAACACTTGGTTTAGTGCGTTTCCTTACGAATGTATGTGTAAAGGACGATGTAATCGACCTTTGGCGGTATTATCCAAGCGAAACAATTTCAATTTTTCCGCGTAACACCCCGCTTTGGCAAAGAAAGTGGCCCAACGTGGATAAAAATTATCTATTAGCATGGGAAACCAGTACCACACAGTCACAGTTGTTGTAAAACTGTGGATATACTTACACATACAAATTGAACGGGCGAGTCTTTCCTTGTTGTTTGTGCACGCAACCTTAGAGGAACGAATTACAATCAAATCATTACAAAACCACGGAAAAAAAATTTTATTAAAACCTTATGAGACGCGATACAAAAACGAAAAAAATTCTCAAAATGATTAAATTATATAAAAAAGTAACTTAATACAAAATATTAGGTGACCACGAACTTTCAAGGTTCTTTCCTTTAATTATGCAATGATTACCGCAAAGATATAACTGTTCGTGAATGTTAAGCAAAACGGCGCAATTTTAATTAAGAACTAGAAAATAACCGCACGAAATAATTTATGGCGATCATTACAACCAGCGATAAAGAAATATGTAGAAATACCTTCATTTGGTTATCAAATAAAAAACTTAGATAAAAATCATTAAATAAAAATTCAGATCAACGTTATGCTTAATTTAGTATCATTAAAGATAGAAATAACAGTATTTTTGATTATTCAATCTTTTATAAACACACTGATAACGAACTGTTATACCTAGGCAAAAATTCTTTGTTACGTAAGAAAATATAAATTTTAAATAGTTTTTATAATGTCGTTCTTATCCTTAGGTAATCATTATTTTACCGCATTGTTGTAATCACGTTGTTATCATGTCTTTTCTGCTCTAATTCACGATTTTTAATTTACATTTTCTTACTCGTCATGTTAGGTAAACTCAAGTCACTTTTTACTCTTTAAATTAACTTTAACGTTCATCAAAATCAACTTTTTGTACTAAATAATATTTTCACACTTTTTAATTATTATGTATAGAAAATGTTATGAAATATTATTTTATAAAAGCGTAAATTAAAATATTTCTAATAAGGATGAAAATCTATTCTTCTCTTTAATTTACCAAGCAATAGAATAGAAAAAGTTGATTTATGCAAGATTTTTTTTTTCAAATCATATTGAATCGACATATTGATAATTGATAATAAAGTAAAGTGGTGTGCGTAGATAAACGGGATACATTGAAATTTATTTATTTATTTATGCGTCTTGTTCTTTGTCTCGCCCATGGTGGAAAATTCATTTTGCGCTATTTGTTCTCTCGCATGTCGGCGGCTTCGCCAGGATACGAGACTGTTCTATCCGCGGGTGAAAGGGACCTTGTAGCTAGACTTGGGGACGTTTGCTTTCGGGGGAATATATAAATCAATCGTTTGGGGTCGAAATCAACAGAATCGAGTCAACAGTCCTAGTGAACTAGTCTTCTAGGAGGTTGTGTGGTTTTTAAGAAAACGAAATAAATAAAAAAATGAGGCTGATTGTAAGTAAAAAAAAAATAAATAAATAAAACATTATTTTTTATTTTCATTATTGTTTTAGATCTTTTTGGGAGCTTTAGCCTTCGTGGCAGCACAACATCATCAACAACCGTATTACGGTCCACAACATATCCCAGTTATTCAAAATGGTGTCCCGGTAGAACCTCCGGCTGTACAAGCCGCTCGTGCAGCTCATCTTTCAGCTTACACTGGAGCCGGTGCACACGCAGCTCCTTATGCTGGAGCCGGAAACAACCAATGGAATGGAAATAACCAATACAATGGAAATAACAACTACGATAATCCAGCTCCACAACAAGGAAGATGGACGCCACCAGCTTACCAAACCAGCCACGAAGCTCCAAGAATTGGTCAAGATGGGCAACCCCTTGACACTCCTGAAGTTCAAGCTGCCAAAGCTAACCTTGCAGCAGCTTACGGTCAACAACATGCCGCCCTTGGACAAGCCTACTCCGCCGCCCAACCTGCAGGACATTACGGTGGTGGACACTATCGTAAAAGACGTAGCGTTTATGGTGGATATGGAGGTTATGGTGGATATGCTGCTCACGCTGTCCCACAAATTGGACCAAATGGTGTTCCAGTAGATACCCCTGAAGTTCAACACGCCAAAGCTGCCCATTTTGCTGCTGTTGCCGAAGCTACTTCTAGAGCTGGAGCTGGTGGATACGATGGTGGTTACGATGATGGATCATATGATGGAAGATACGACGATGGTGCTTATGACGGTAGATACGATGGAGGATACGGTGGAGGATACGGGGGAGGATATGGAGGAAGTGGAGGAAGTGGACACGCTGTTTGGAATGGACCAATTCATATCCCTGTTATTGGACCACAAGGTGTACCTATTGATACCCCAGCTGTTCAACATGCAAGGGCTGCTCATTTAGCCGCCATTCATGCTGAAGGTGCAAGAGCAGGACACGGATACGGCTATGGACATTATTAAAAAAAATGGATGCTTCATTGGATCGAGTCAGTTATCATTTATCAGTCAATCCTTCTTGAGTTCTCTCCGATTTAGCTTTTAAATCGATCCGCCCCCAATGATAAAGGGCCTAAATTCAGGATCGATTTAAACGCCATAAATCAATAATACACATCGACGAGTCGTTACCACTTACTATTACCTTTTTTTATTATAACGATATGCGTAATTGTAAATAAGTTATTTTAATAAATTTTATACGATTTATCATAATTGCTGTTTTACATCACAATTCCTGTTTATACCTGAAATTATAAAACGGCATAACAATGACATAACCGAGTTAAACGGAGCGTGCAGCAGGAAGAGTACAGAAAGAGAAATTCATCCGACCGCGCAAGGTTTATAGGTTAGGATCAAGTGTGGAGTTTAATGTAATAATGGTGAGTATTGCGCCGTTCCAGGTCTGCAGAGGTGTTCCGTTCACTCCGATTCAGCAACTCAATGTCGCCACACCTTCGCCTACGGCCATAGAAATTACTAGAGTACTTTTTTTCTCTTGAACTATTAGGATTCAAATGGATTCAAATGGATTGTGGATGTTTTAAATGCCACAGATTTATTTTTTGCTAAAAAAAATTACTTTATTACTTTTCTTTGTCTTAATTTAATTGTCATAATCATAATTACAATTTTCTTCATACATTTGTTCTTATACATACATTACTCAATTTTCGTGTATATTTCAAGTACATTGACAGGATAACTTAAGAAAATACAGATTTTGGGTTGGTACTGAGGCAAACTTTGTTTAACTTATTTTTTATTTAGTTTTAAGCTATAAATTCGTAAAACAACACGACAATAAGTAACGATAAAAGAAAAACAAAATGAGTATTTTGTAAACTTGTGCAATTACAAGGCGAGAAAAACAACAACAAATAAAAACAAAAATACAAATTTTTCGAAATAATTTGTCCTTTAAAAGAAAAAGAAGGACAATAAATACTAATTGGTAAAAAATAGTAAATCTTAATTAAGTAAACAAAATTAACGACAAGAATTAATTATTAAAAATTAAGCATAGGTAATACGGTAAATACATCACAGATTTCGAGCTGGCGAAAGGAAGTAGTCGCAGTTGTTCGGAAATCATAATTTGGTGTTGCAGGATTCTGAATCAAGCGACACCTCTTGACTGTATGCGGCACTAGGAAGTCTTTCCATTGAAACCGCAGTTAGAGTCGGTATTTTGTCGTCATCTATTGACTTTCCTCGGGCGATTTCATCACCGTCCGTATAGTGGCGCTGTTTTCCCGGAAAGAACGAGGCGATTTTCCTCGCAATAGGATGTATCAAGTTTTCATCGTATCGATCTGTTTCACTGGCGGTGAAATAGGAAATTATCCAACCCAAGAAGACAGTGACGAAACATCCTATCAACGAGTAGTACATGTATGTTATCGAATGGATTTGTGTGAAAGCATCTCTAAGAAATCCAAATAATATAAAAAAATGTTCAATTAATATTAAAATTAAGAACTTACTCATGTTGCAGATCTATTCTCGGTTCAGCTGTCGTTGTTCTTATAGTATATTGATGATTTAAGATTCTTTGTGGGAACGGATGATCTTTTAGTATATATTCGCTAAACGAATTGTTGGTGCAACCATCAATGGTTAAATCTAAAATTTTTTCTGGTTTCTTTTCGACGTATAAGCTGCCGAAAGTAATCCACAGTGTTGTTAGATGCCCAGCGATTACACCAACTGCTGCTCCCTAAAATAAGATTAAATAATTATCATGTATATAAAAATTAGTTAAATGAATGAGATGATGACCTAGTTACGATCGATGGTGAGCACTAAAGCGCGCTGGACGTACGCATAACATCACAACGAGACAACCAAACGTGCCAAATCGAATATTGCAATAATATCAATTTTGACAGTCATCGATTACCATCGTGCGTATACAAAACCTGGAATGTGGCCGAGTTGTAACCACCACCACTATATTGGTAATCATTTATGCATGATAAAATTGATTCTTTATTATAATATTTTATTTTATGACAATGCATAATGGATTAAATGCCTTTCAACTAATTGTTCGTTAAACAAAAATTGAACAAAAACATTAATCACATCTCCTTTACACGATATTTAACAACGGTCATTAGACGTTTCGCTCTCATAGATGGCGTATTTACGGGGAGGGAGGGTCCGTTTTGTGTTTAATCGTGGGGAGGAGAAGAAAGCTCCGCGTGAAGGCGCCGTAATCGGCAATCTGCCGGCCGTAAACGTATCATGGATCGCGGGCGGTAATTGCCGGGCGCAAATGGGCCGGTGGCGCGCTCCACCGCCGTTTCCGGCCATTAAAACTTTTGACGGCCGCGACGGAACGCCGAAGGATCGCCTGTGCTGCAGCACTCTCTCGGAGAATACCCGATCCCCAAACCCTTCCCAGCACTAGAAGTGGGGGATACGTCAACGTTAAATCCCATCAAAGTTGGCGCTTTCCAAGCGATTCTGCTATGCTTCGTGGCACTCCGAGTCTTTAGGTTCCAATTCTAACGTGCGATGACACTATACAAATGCAAAAGCTTTTTTCGACATTATTTTGTTATAAACTTGGGATTTATGGAATTTTGAATTCGATAATTGTATCGCATCATATATTTGATGCATTTCAAAAATAACCCAGTTTTAATGGATGGGAAAAAGTAATAAAAGTGTAGTTGAAAATGTGAAACAGCAATAAAAGTGCGGTTTTGGTTAGGGTAAAGTGCAGCTCTCGCGGTCGCAATTGAACGAATAAACTCGAAATTTGCCCAGTAAACACACCGGAAAATCCGAAACCCCAGCTTTCAAATTAAATCTCGACGAAGTCGGCTTAAAAATCGGGCGTCGCGACGCTAATCGTATTGTCGACATCGTCGTCGTCAAGCAAACAATACCGCGGGCGATGTCGAGTGGGGTATTTACCCGGATGTCGACGAAATCTTACCTTCCAGTTGCAGCATGGAACCAACATTGCAAGGAGAAAAACGCCTAACAAAGGTCCGGATGTGGCGGACGTCACCAGCATGGAAGATTCGATCACTCCGGACAGTAATCCTATTCCGAAACTTATTCCCATAATCGCTAATCCGTAAACAACACTAATGGCTTTGATCCAATATAATTGGTGTTTATCCCTTAGTCCTTTCAACGCTGGTAGTGGACGTAGAAAATCTTCGAATGTAACAGTTGCCAAGGAATTGAGATTTGATACATTCAAACTACAAAATATAAAATAAAATATAATAATCATTTCTATTATCTGAAAATTTGTTTCATACCTTAAAGCTCCGTTAAATAAAGTTGCTATAAACAGTCCTAAAATTCCTGGGATATACGAAAACCGATCTTCCATGTAAAATGGCAAGATCTCATCGAATTTCTTTATGTATCCCGCTGAAAGTGGGTCGCAAGAGGCGTAAATGGCGTAGATAACCATGCCTACTACCCAAGATAAGCTGAACAGGACCGTAATAACGGGAATGTTGTACATTAACGTTCTGAAAATAACCAAATTTCCAAAAAAAAATCAAATTATTATGAAAGCTTTTGTATCGACAATCACGCGTTATTTTCATGGATTCCAATACAAAAATGTGGTTACACATTTCCGCTATTTGTATTAATACCGGGTATACAGAGATCCGGAATAAATCGGAGTTGTGTAAATACAAGGTAATATCTTGCTCGATTCCATATATCGCCCTATCAATCATGAATATTGATTGAGGTGTAACTATGTCGGATTGTGGTCAAGTACGGTGAACTCCAATTTAAAACACGTTCGAGAATCGGCAAATATAAAATGTAATAATATCTGGTACTAGGCCGCGTTTTATTATTTTACAATTAATATAAATAGCATAGATCCGCCGAATGGATATAATAAATTATCCTTACTCGCGGCATTTTCATTAAAAACGAATTAATTTTTTGCGCTAACGATCGTCGGGGCTAGAATTAAATTCTTAATACCTTTCACGCCATCCAACATCAAATATCGTTAATATATCATAATCACTACTTTAACGACGTAAATGAATAATTACCCCATTCTTAGAAATAATTAAAAAGAAAAATTTTATTACTTACTTGGTCACTTTTGATTGCGAATCCATACTGCAATATCTTTGTACGAAATTCTGTTGGCACCCAAATATAGAAAGAGACATAAAAAGTTGTCCAACAACCGCAGAAATTGTAGTGACTCGTATCGTTGGATCCGTATCGAAACTGAAAATAAAGTGACGATATAGTTGAAATAATTTAACCACTTTTCACTAATCAAGATAGTGAAATAGGATAGTACATATTGACCGGAATCTATTGACAGATAGTTAAAGATTGATGAGTTCGATTCGGACAAGTCTAGTATAGGATGTAGTAATGGTGTGATTGATAACTGAACGAGAAGTGAGAAGTAATTAGTCAACCATGACCTTCAATTACACGGGTTGTTCAATAAAGGGAAAGGTTTGCATTCGTGTCGGATACGACCGATGAGGGATGAATGCAATTCGGTGGGTGTGATTAACGACCATCCAAGAAACAAGCCTATCGTAGATTGGGAAACGCGGGAATGGCGAAGAAAATAACTACCAGTTTTGCATCTCAATGAAAGGGACGCTACGAACTAAAGAGATTGCGCCGGCCCGCATTTACCGAATACAATATTTACCCCGTGATTTTAATTATAGATAAAAGGACCCTATAAAAGGGTGCACACCCGAAATCCCGAAGAAAAACTCCAAACGATCCTTAGGATAAGTCAAAGATTTCATTCTAATTTTAACGCTTTTGAACAATTTCAAACAATTTTATCAAAGTTTTTAAAATATTCTTTAATTTTAGTTTTTGAAAGGTTAACATTTGAGATTAGAGTGAATTTTCATTAAACCGTCTCGACGAATTCGCGAGATTTAATAATAATCTAATTGGGACAGAGCCGGACCGTCCAATTTCGTCGAGCCGGAGTCGTCCAGAAACAACCACCTGTGCCGGGCCCTAATACAATTTTAATGCGGTCTCTTTAAAATTCGGCCTCATTAAGTCGGGAAAACTTGGACCGAACGCGCGCCCCACTGCTTTTTATTAAAACGGAGCGGCCTTAATTCGGTCGGGCGACGCGCAAATATTCCAAAATCGACCGGTCGCAGCAACTTTCATGAACCGGAAGTACCTACTCACTTAAAGAATCCCAGGCGACCTCCGTCGTAGTTTTCCTGCACAACATTGAGAGCGCCACCACCTTCTATACATCCCTGGACTATGATGGCCACGCTCACAGCTATCATTGTTAAACCTTGCATAACATCGGCCCAAATTGCTGCTTTTAATCCACCCTGTAATATTAAACGTTTATTTAGTTTTTAGAGATAAAATATCTTATGTTTCAATAAAATTTATGGTGTGTTAATAATAAATAGAGTTATAGCTGTGTTGAGAATTACTGGTGTTGATATAAAACGTAGAGGAAGCGAGCGGTGGTGCTCTGAATGCAAGTGGCGACGTGTGAAATTAATATCATCGACCAACATGTACCCCAGCAACTCTCTGAATAGTGAAGCTGACTGATGGGGAACGATTCTATCGCGAAATGGGACCACTCTCGAAGGGTTTTAACCTATTATTGTCAGGTCGTATCGCTAACTCATATTTACAAATCCTATTTAATTAAAAAGTTACATTTGACATACATTTTTAATAGTTTCCTCACAAAATCGCGATTCTGTAATAATTCACCGATCATTATTCATTTTGTAATTAACCACACTAACCCCACCCGCCTCAAGTTTAAGCATCGATAATGGTCCAACCTTCTCTCTGCTACATTTATTATAACAAAGAATATTATTAAAAAGGTGAAAAAAAATCTGATTAATCCGGAGCAGAGTCCATCGTGAAGTTCCCAATTTTCCAAGCTGCTCGGGTGTCATCTGGTTCTTAGAAAATTAAGGGAAAATGCCTCCGGAACTCAACTTTGCGCCGCCGGTCTGGTTTGATTAGCGACCCATTTACCCGGAAGTTTGCAGCAGTTAACTCATTATAAACTGTACTTGACGACGAAACTTCACGATCGTCTTATTTGGAATCGTTTTCGAACCAGTTCCAATCATATTTCATTAAACGTTTTAAGGGTGATGTTAACCAGTGTTTCAGTTATCGCTTCCGGTTGATCATAGAAATAATAAATTTCAACTCAATTTTTCAGTTTTTCCTTTAAAATGTTTTTTTTTTAGTACATATCAACTTTTTAGTTAAATAAAATTTATACTGCAGTTGACATGTTTATAAATGGTAGGCAAACTTAATCAGATAAGGTTTATAATACTCGCACTATATAATTACTTTAATAAACTTTCTACCCTCAATTTTGAAACGTGCAATAACCCGCTCGTTGAATATAAAAACATATGCATCAAAAGTTATTAAATGTAAACATGCAATGAAACACGATATTATAAAGTACCTTTGCATGTTTTTAATGCATGAAACCTATTTTGTTGGTATACTATGGAAAGTACATCTGATGAATTTTATGTCGATTAGTGTACGTATATATTGTCTGGTTATTTATTTGGAAAACTTTTCTAAACCATTAAAATAACAAAGGTTACTAAACACTATGTATTGCTATACAAAATTAAATAAAGAATAATAACATTACTTGTTTAAGGTCTATTTATGATGGATTCATGCGATGATGGAAGTCAAGGTCTTACGTAAAATTATGTATATATATATACTCTAATGTCAGATATGTCTTGGAAAAATGTATCGAAAAGATATCAACACCTTTGGGTAGAAAATTGGAGACTTTGAGTTTAATTAATACCTGAGAAAATTGCCAAAGGATTCAAAGTAGCTGTGACTCAATTGGAGAAACTGAAAGTTGTTCAGGTTAATCTGCCATCATACACAATATAAGCAAATAGACTATTGCCCTTATCTACAGATTTAGACAACATGCCCAAAGTTTATCTATTAATCTCTACAATGTCGAATTTTTAGAACTGATCTTGTTCCACAAAGTTAATGTAGAATTAAAACTTTTTAAAATTATCAAATAAAACTTAATTTTTTAACAAAAAACTTATTTGCACTAAGTTACGTTAACTACAAGTTACCTGTGTTAGCGTTTCAGCAACAAAAATGGCACTGAGATGGGAAATATCCAAAACAACCACCATTTTTGCTTTGGTAATTGTAGTTAAAATTAAGCGACCTTGTATACACACGGTGCATGTATAAGAAACTAGATTGTGTGGTACATAATACATGTGTACGGAAGCATAAGCCTCATAGTATTCAGTAAATCCCAAGCGACCTAAGTGATCGCTTGGTCAATATCTTATAAATAAATAAGATTGTACCAACAAGAACTACAACATTGTACAATTAGCAATTAGTGTTAATATTGTATCAGTAAAATGGCGATTGAATTGGTTCAAATACGAGCGTTCTGAATAGCTTTCACTTTAGAACGAAGGATTTTATAACAAATAATAACAAGCATAATACGTATTGATTAAAATGTTCGAAATATTAAATGAGGGTTTAAGTTGTAGTAAATAATATCTCACTGCCGTGTTGTTACGAAGGGGTTGAAGTGTATGGGTTTGATTGAGGACTTAGTAATCGAGCAATATTTCACGTGGGATCGAATGCAAATCTTCCAGTAGCTTGTTTCGGAGGCTGCAGGGACGTACTCGGCTGATTTATATCGGTTCGTATTTGTCTCGAAATTTATGCCGATTCGAATTCGGTTTATTCGATCCTGGGCAGGTGAGATGGCTCGTTTGGCTTATCGCCAAGAAAATCGAACCTTTATCGAAACTTGAGGACATTTTCAAGGATTTAAAAAAAAGCACGATTTGATTGTTATACGAAAACAGAAAGGTGATTTAACTCGGTCGGAGTTTTAACGTTTAATTTCGCGAGTTGGCGCCGCAAGTTTAATCGACGTAAAAAGCCATAAAAAGCAACCCTAATTTCGAAATCAAATATCACCACATAAATCGCGTAAATCGCGCCGCGGTCAGTTCTAAATTATATAATATTCACAGTTAAGTCCCTGGATTTCCGACGGTTCGCGCAGAAATTGATTTTGTGTCATCGTGCCGAAGACAAATGTTTGGTTTCGCAGTACACGTCTAGCTTCTAACAGGACCGGAATATCTTAAATTCCTTTACAATAATCTAGTCTTTGTTATAATATTTTAGTTAAGACAATATATTAATGGGAACCAATTATTTATTATTACGATGTAGAATAAATTGTTAGAAATTAGACAAATTGGATATGAAATAGGTGTAATTCATTTTGTGTTGTGGGGTGTACAACAAAAACAAGTTATTATACCATCAGGACAGAGAAAAAGAAGCGATTTATCAACGAAAATAAATGAAAGGCTGGACATCTATACGAAAAATTCGGTTAAACGAATGAAAAATGGCCCGAATTGATCGTTCAGGACCTCAACACGTCGACGGGCGGTGTTTTATATTCCCCCAGTTATGCTAAAAGCTCTTCCATACAACGATACTGCGCCGTAGTAACAAGTTCACAGGCTGATATTAAGTGAACGTCAGGTGCATTGACCAATAATGCCGGGAATATATACAGTAAACTTTTCCCTTCCCATCTATTATAAACGTCGAAAACTTACCAAAAGGGTGAAAATAATGCTGACGAAGCTGATCCCACAAATCGACAACCAATACGGCATTCCAATAATTGTGTTTAAAGCTACGCATGGTGTAAAAACAGTTACGCCTTGATTCAAAAGTTGCCTTATAATATACGTCCCAGATGCTAAACATCGAACCAATCGAGATTTAAATCTTAAATCTAAATATTGGTAAACAGAGGTTATTCCCAAACTGAAATAAACTGGAACGAATATGTAGCAAACGATTGGATAAGCGAGAATCATTCCATATAAAGTTTCCCACATTGTACTTCCTCTGTAAAATAACTCAGATGGATATCCTATAAAAAAAGAAAAAAATAATGTTCAGTTATTTGTATTCATCATGACTCAAAAATTACCTAAAAATGAGCGTACTCCTAAAGTTCCTCTCGCTATACTTAACATCATTGCACCCATTGAGACTTTTCCAGCGGCGAATACGAAATCGGCTTTAGTTTTCTCTTTGGGGCCAAAGCAACGGGAATATACAGCAACGAACGTTGTCGCTATTACAAATACCACAAAGACAACGTAGTCCCATGCCATGTTCCGTACTTCGTTCATTTTGAAAGCTGGAAACGAGAAATGAAATTTATTGCACAACGAATGTAACGAAATAAAAGTAAAATAATTTCAACAATTTGTTCTGGTCGAAAACCAGCGAGTCCCATAAATATAAATAAAACGATTTAAATTTTATTAACACTTCACTTAATTTTCATACTGTTTACTAAATATGTTTTCATATATTACGCGATATATTTTTTTATTTGTTATCACGCTATAACAAATGTGCACAAATCTGGTTTATTGTTTGTTTAGACTGCACTCTAATAATTACAACATTAATATTTATTAACTCATGCAATATTATCAAAACAATTATTATCAATAATTGATTCAATTGGTTATCATTATGCATAGAAATGAAAATAGAATCAACAATCGGTATAAATAACAAAATTAACACTTGTTATTCCCGCTACGATAAATTAAAAACATAATGTCTCTCCTTTTTGACCTTTCCAACATTTCGTGTTTATTTATTATTCCGTTTCAAAATTTGCGATAATAAAAAAATCCATCACAATCCACATACACCTATTTATGCAAATTCTTGGCCTGTTTTGACAAAAAAAAAAGTAAAATGCAAAAAACGCTGCAGTTTAGGACGTCGAGCAATTTGCTGGCAATTTCGTCATGTTGTATAGGGTTATTAACGGTCATTTTTAATTCGATAATGCTGCAATATCCCGATGGTATAGGTTCGTATACGTCTGTAAACGCAAAACCCGAATGAACGGTAATTTACAGTCGATAGGGTCGCTTTTGCATGTAATTTAAGCTGGGATTCATTAAAATTTGGTTACTCTCACCATATTGGTAGGTTATCGAAAGCCGCTTTTTGGTGGATCTGTATAATTGAAAATAAATATAATTTAGAGTGTAAATAGGTAAATAATTGTATGTTAAATTATATACTGATTGATATATTAGCCTATAAATATGTAGTGAAGGGGTGGTACCAATATTTTATTACGTAATCGTAACTTCATTTGTTATTGGTGCGGAAAAACGTTTTGGTATCAAACGTTACTAAATTTAATTTCTTCCTTGAACACGAAAAAGAAATAGTTCACTTCAATGTTAATTAATTTTGACATTTTTTTCCAACATTCAACATACTGTCCTTGCACATTTCTACCATACAAGAGAATTTATAGAAAAGCTCACAAATTGCAGGCCGTCTAAGCCGAGGTCGCTTGCGGGTGAGGCTCTAGAGGTAATTTCACATCAATCCAAAATTGGCTAAACTTAGGGAAGAAAATCTATAATGTTGCCTGATTAAGCCGAGGCAGCTTATGGCCGAAGCTCTGACATCACCTATTTATGATAGAATTGCATGATTTTGCCCGACCAAGCGAATCTAAAAGTGAATCTGATAAACAACATTTCAATATTGAAATAACTCTTGGTTTGATTAATAACAAAAAGAAGATTTAATTTTGTTGTCTTTTTGCACGTGGATATAATTGATGATATGTTACTAATTACTAAGCGAGTTAAAAAAATTAACAAATCAATACGTAAATGTCAACCTGTTAATTGATAAGATAACCTAAGAAGATGGTGTGATTTTTTGTGTTATTTAACACTGTATCTAACTAAAATTTAGCCTTGTAATAAATCAAAATAAATACGTTGTTTTAACTTTAAAAAAGTGTAAAAGGAAAAAATTACTTATTATTGAAATTATTATAAATTTAAATTCTTGTTAATGTAAAACATTTATTTTTGTAAACTAGAACTCGATACACAACATATGAATAATGAAATTCTTTTATCTACACCTGTCATATTTTAACATTTTATTGCAATGAACTGCGTTTTGTGAACCGCTGGTAAAGTATTTCAGGTGGGAAATTAATTATATACTATCATGAGAAAGCAAACAAGTACTAAGTGCAGTGTTATCGTTACATAACCTGAAAAAAATAAAATTATACTTGTATAAAAAATGCAAACCATGTTTTTCCCTACTATGTGTAAATTAGAAATTGCTCTCATAGTTCAAGTTCAACTTGATAAACAACCAATATTTTTTTCATTCATATAATTGATTTGCGGTTAACACTTTATTTTTACAATACAATAACTACAAAGCGTATTTTTTTCTTTTCAATAGAGAAACAAATCGATCAATGGATTTGATTATGTTATATAAAAAAAGTCTGCTGTTTGAAGATATCATTTGCATTTGAAAGATCGCATGAAAGTGATGTCACGCCGGTAACGGTTCATTTTAATGTTTGTCAACCTTAAAACGTTTATAAGAGATTTCTATTTATAGTATGTTAGTACGATGTGTTGTATTTTGACGTTAGATGAGTTTTTTTTTTTAACTACTGTGCAAATTCGATGATTAAACAAATCGCAGGTGTTTATACAGTGAATTTCACTTAAGTTACAATATACAAAAATATATTTCCATAAAAACCAGGGTTTTGTCCTATAGAAAATGCAACATGTCAATATAATTTGACATTATAGGAAAACCTCGATATAACGTATCAATACGGGGAACCCATACAACAATCTAGCGCTGAATAATAAATAAGACTAGACTAACATTAGAACTAGAACTAAAACTAGACCTAGAACTAGAAACATTCCGTAGCGCTAGTTAGCACAAAATATATTACTATGTTGCATATTTTTATTGAACTAAAACTAGAACTAACACTAAACCTAGAACTAGAAAGTTTCGGGTTTAGCCGTGGGTCTGAAGCACCTAGTTTTAATTATTATGCGGCGCTAGACCAAGAACTAGAATCACTCGTATTAGTATAGCGTTAGTTTTACATAGTAACAGTGCTAGTGTAAAACTAGAACTAACACTAGACCTAGAACGAGCAACATTCGGATTTAGCTGTACGTCTCTTAAGACGGAAACTCAGAGTTATCTTAAGGACGTCACCTTTTTCAATCAAAACATTTCCTTTACAAAACTACCCAATGCCTGTATTATTAAACTATGTTGTCATTTTATGTGGGACTAACTTTGGTTACAGCATTCATATATTGCGAGTTATATGAAATTCCCGGTGTTTACTTTAGCATTTTCTGGATTTAATAAAAAAATTGCCATGTTAATAAAATGAAATTGTTAATTAAAATTTTGTTAATTATTTAAAATTTATTTCATAATTATAACGAAAACATCGGTAAAAGGGCTTTTAGTGCAGTAAAAAAGCAATTTATATTTGATATCTATATGTATTTGGTCGTTGTACTCGCACGGAATGCGAGTAACAGATAATTATTATTATTGTTACCCTAAAAATTTTAAATCGTAATAACGTGAAATAATTAATTGTTTCTCTCTGTACCAAAACATTATTACCTATGATTTTATAATATTCTGAATATTACCGGCGGAGTTTTTATTTTTTAGTTTGAAAGTTGGAGTGGCGTTGAAACAATTTACACCAAATTTGCTGCTCGTTAGACCACTAAATAAACATATAAAATGTCTCTTTTACGAATTTCATACATGCATTTCGTTATTCAAACAAAATAAAAACTTTTTACTCTTTAAATTAAATCGGAATCATAATACATTTGCGTACAACAAGAAAAGTTATTGGGTTTTTCCAATTTGTTTACGTATTTTATATACTTTGATCAGATTCAGGTCATTAGTGTTCAACAGGTTTGTTTACTTCATAACAAATCACGAGGCTGCTACGACTCGCATTAATTTTATTTTTACAAATTTCCCTTTTACCTGATAGTGGTCAACAGACTGAAAAGATGAATGAGCCTCCTTTTTAGGTTGGCAAAAATGTATGAGTCAAAAAGTAAAATAAAGAATAAGATGTTTGGGTTTATAATTCAAAAACATTTTTTTTTATCTCGAAATAGAAAATGAAAATTACACATCAGACCTTGGCCATTATTGTCATTATACATAACGTAAAGTGTGTGTATAATGTAGATGCACGAAACAGACAATGTAGATCACGTGATATGACCGAGTCCAACGAAGTTTATGCTAAAACCTATTTACACTATCAAAGGCTCAAATAGAATCGACTAGCAACAATAATAACTATTATGTTATTAAGTGATCGATTAATTAAACGAATACTGTGTTTAATTTAGTAATCCTTTTAATACAACTTAAGCAAAAGATATTTGTCGAAAAATGTCTATAAAATGAATGCGAAACATCATTTTAATTCATCGATCATTTCATTTTACTCTCAGTCACGCGCAATCGTTAAACGTATACGCAACAAATTAACCAATAGATAATAGCCAAAGGCTATTTTGTAATACGTCCGAAGGAAAGTAACTTGAAACGGTGGCGTCGCGCCTTTTTTCTTGCCTTGGCATTAAATTCGGCGTTAAATAATCATTATCTATGCAATTGCTTATGATTATTAGGCCGTATCCAATTGTTAATGAATCGTAAATTGTTACATCAAGTTGTTTCATTCAATTTTTTTTAAGTGCATTTAAATTCATTTAAAAACTATGTAAAATATATCGTTGAAATATAACATTTTTAAAATTCCTATCAAGTTACCACAAAAATTTGATAAGCTATATCTATTTTTAGATATTATTGTTCTTAACAAATTAAAATTCGTATTCATTTCAAAATTGATTCACAATCAACAAACAAATACTTCGTTAGTATATAAATACATACACATTTTATGTAAACTTAAAGCTGAAAATAGAAGATGTTTAGCGGAAAAACGGATATGTATATACAGATTAAGATTGAAAATAGATTTTGTATGTTGATCAAAATAAAATGGTATTGCGATTCAAAAATTGCTATTTTAATTCTTGACCGTCTCTCTAAGGTATCAAAAATAATAGTATGTATGTACACGTGGTGTACATAAAAATAACCCGCCTTCAGTGCCAAATTTCCCTACGGAGTTTTCCGATCAATACATGACACGTTTTCAATTTTTAAGCTTGATCAAAATAAAAAGTGCTTAAACGTATTAAAAAACAAAAAAATATACATTACCTTATTTATTTCTCTCTAATTTGTAAAGCTTTACGTTCAACTTAAAAACGAATTCAAAAAATATTACTAAATAATCGACAACATTCTTTCATAAAAACTCTTTATACACTTATAAAGCACATTTGTTCGGTTTGATTTTATTTTAGAGACGATACCGTTTCTGTCGCGCTCGCGAACTATTTAACACTGTCGCGGATTTAAAGAGGCTTCTGACATGTAGACGATCGGCGTCGATTTGAAAAACCCGTTCGCGTTGCCAATTCTCGAACAACAATTTTAGTTCTCGATCGACAAAGCGATCGGCGTCGATCTGAGTTGATGTAAACTCAGTTCGCTGAAGCTTTAAATGAGCGACAAATCAGCAAAATAGCGGTTTTTAAATTGTGAGAGCTCTGCTGCCATAAACGTATTCGGGGATTTTTCTCGTAGCAGTGAAAACACGCAATCATTTGGAAGTGAATGGAATTGGATGAGTTTCTTGAATTGAACGTTTCACTTAAACAAAGTTGTACTTTGTACCAATGCATTATAATTAGAAGTAGTGAATAATAAAATTTGCGTATATCGAGTTTATAATGCATTGTGTGATATCGATAATCAAATAATAACAACTTCCAATAAACGTAACACATTAATAAGTTCATGAATATAAAGCTTTTATTGTCGATTTAAAACGTTTTACAATCGAACTATAAATTCTGACGTTTCTCTATGACCTATTAACAAGAATGTCGATAAAGAATTTCTACGAAATTAGAATTTTCGTAATCATTGCAATATTGTAAAAAGAAATGTACGAGTGTTAATGAAATTGTCAACATTTTGTGGTTTTTTTTATAGCTCCGTGATTCTCGTAAAACCACATCTAAATAGTCGGCATCTTGTTAATAAATTGTAAGCGTTATGTAACGGTATTGTGTATTGTGGTTACCTTAAATCATAACGATAATGATAGGTCATTAACAAGAATTGTGGAAACAAAATTTGATTTTGCAAATTTACAAATATTTTTGTTTTTTTAAACATTTAGTTTCATTTAAAATAATGAATAATGTTAAGAAATTATTCAAAATGACTAAGAAGATGTCAAAATTCAATACCATAGTAATGATTAACATTTACTTTAATTATTAGTTATTAGTGATATTGTAATTGTTGAAATTTGTGAATATAGTTTTACAAATTGTGTGTAGAGATTTTATCATTAATTGCTGGATATTTAAATAGTTTAAGAAATCCTCAAGCTTTTGTTTTCAATTTTTCTGTACTTGTCTAATAGAGTGGTCATCTTGCTCACATACAAGAAATATGAGAATACAAGATTTGACCACCACTACGGTGGAATTACCTTTATTAGGAGGTTAATGGACTATTTCAGTATTCTCTCCTTCCTCTTTTTCAATGTTTGGAAAGGGCAATATTTTCTGATTTATACTTTTGGGTTCTTCTAAAAATCTTCTTTCTGCTAAATTCTCCATGGCTACTTTATCCACTTTGTTTTAGTTCTGCTTGATATGGAACTTGAATTATGTGTTAGGAATACTAAGGAAATTTGTAGATTTTAAACATGATGTTGAGGGATATCGGGAATAACATTGACAAAATCTAAGAACGATGTTAAATGATGTGTTGTAGGCGTATAGGGACACTCTTTAAGTTATTAGGGATCAAGTTGAGGGATATTAAGAACGATGTTATTGGCTGGAATAGTATTGATGAGAGCTAAATATGATGTTGAGTGATTTTAGGAATAGTGCAAAGAGATTCCAGTGGCGATGATGAAAGTCAAGAAATATGTTAGGGATATGAAGGATTTTTATTTAGGGTTTTTTGATATAGAGAGGACATATTTTGTAAATTTCTATAGTTTAGGTAAGTTTCTTTAGCCATATTTTGGTAATAGTGGTTCGTCTTGACAAGAAACTTGTAGTATTGAAATCCATATTCCCTGTTGTACCCTGTAAAAGATGTGATAGATTTTTATAATTAACACTACACCCAAGTTGCAGTTTGTGGTTTGAGTAATGTTTGTTTGGTTCAGTGGATCACTTGACATCGTTAAAGAAGTGGGAAAAGCATGGAATTAAAGAGAATACTTTCAAAATATTAGAAATGTATCTTCAAGATCGCAAGCAACGATTGTAATGGGATGGTGTACCAATTCCGAATGGATTATAACAAAAATTGGCGTACAATAAGGTTCCATTCTTGGACCTGTTCTGTTTCTTGTCTACATAAGTTACTTACCTTAAGATGTAGCTACTACTTCATATCTACATCACTTTCTAATAGGTGTAGTGACATCTAAACACTGAATCTTAAAAAAACAAGACTCTTGGGCAGAATATGTTGCGCAATTAAAAGTAAAGCTTTTCATTCCTTGTTGTCCTTTAAAATTGAGCAAAAAAGCTCATCACCAAAAATTAAGTGATACCATATCATATATTAAACCTAACGACACTTTATAAAACTTACCGAAAAATACTTATCTTGTACGTGATGCTCTTCTTTCCATTGACTTAAGTTACCACTTTGTTATATCAACTCAAAAGGTTGAAGTCTTTTGAGTCTTCTCCCTAGCTGTAAATTGTCGAGGAGTTCAATAATGGTATGAGTTAAAATCCTTTTTCTGGTTTTAATTATAAACAAGTAGTTATTTTCATTATTTCTTTTTATTTTTTCATCAAAAATAATTTTTTAATACAAGAAGATTAACATACATTATATTTATAATTTCTGTTTAAATACATTAACTACACGTGAATCATTTTTATTACCTCTATTATCGGGGTATCACATTTACGAATCTTTTACATAATACAGGTTTATAATAACTAGTTACTGATGATGATGTTATGAAAATAATTATGCATTTTTTCTTTGTGCACATTTTAGTCATCTGCATTTTTTTAAATTGAAATAAAACGTGACCTTACGTAGCAGATAATCGTTGTTTTTCGACGCCAAACACATGTGACTCGATATTTTTTTATATATTTTTTATGTATCCGCCAGAAAAGAATATTATTGCTGTTTTGAATAAAATTAACATACAAATCCTCGTATGCACTTTTAAAAAAGGCATTTAAAGTTGAACGGATTAAATATGAACGTTAAAATAATTGACCTTGTAAAGAAAATATAAATATTAAGTTAATTATATAATAGATGGGTTGTCTATTTGGGGTAAAAAAATTAAAAGTGAACGAGCAGCTACCGTTACAGAAGATATTTCCGTCCGACAATTCCAAAAGCAATTTTCCCGGTTTATGAGAGTACGCTTTGCGGCAACTTGATGAATCCCATTGAAAGTCGTTATTTAAAATGCGGGTCGCGAGAAATTGCTGCAACAGGTACGAGAGGGACGCTGTTAACGTTAGAAGAGGCCGCCCGTTGAAAGACGGTCAGGTAATCTATTTCGGCAAAATTTTCCTGAATAAAAATAAAACACAATTTTGGGAAATGCAAAAAGGGCAAGTTAGTGTCTAATATCGCATTGAAAGTGTTTGGAAACTGTGAAACTGTTCATTTGGAATTTAAAGCGAGACTAATTAACTTTAATAGACTTTTAGATTGTCTAGCCGGATTAAAAAGAGTGTCGTCTCTCTGAAAATTTGTTGTCGCATAAAAGCGCTTGAAAATGGTTATAAGGTAGTGTTAATTTTTTATTATGCCAAGTGAAATTTGGTACTAAAATCAACCGACACGTTGAACAAAGCGGATTAACTAAGAGGCTTAAAACTTATTGCAGCAGCGCCCGATGCATTCGCCCGACTAAAATTTCCTGCAAACTCTACCGAGCTTACGGGAATATACCGACAACTTGATTGAGATGTTTTAGTTTTACCATAGTTAATAACAATAAAAAATTAAAAGTCACTGCTTAATGTATTTTGCTATTCGTGGAAGCGCACTATTGATGGATTACCGGTATCGGTGAGTGGTTCTGCAAATAAGCATTATTTACGGCTGTAATTAAGGCAACGAAATGGGGTCACTAGAATGACGGATGTGCTATAGATTTTCAAATCGCAATATGAGTGCACAAACACGTTAAAAATAAAACTAAAAATTTAAATTGATTTAATGGGAGAATGGAATTTCGACTATAACGAAACTTCGTGCAAGAGTTTATCAAAGTGTGTTTTAATAATAGCTTCAAGACATGTTCCATATTTTCAAATTTCTTATAAATTACATTCCTTTCTAGCGTATGTCAATCGAGAAAAGTGGAATTTACATGAAAACTTTGCTTGTTAGCGTAAAGACTTTATTAAGAAGAAATTAAAATCATTATTTTCTGGTAAACTATTACAAAGTTTCTTTGTGGAAACTATTTATTGATTATTAGTCCCCGATAAACTACACTGAATTTTACTTAAGATGCAATATATCAAGGCGTACCTACTTACTTTGTCCTCCATAAAATGCAACACGTCAAATAATTGGACATTACAATAAAAACTCAATTAATATGGGGTAGGCAGTGTCAGTTATAGCTCAATAAAAATGTACAATAATCTAGTGTTGAATAACAAATAATACTAGACTAACACTAGCACTAAAAGTAACACTAGGCCTAGATCTAGAAACATTCCGTTTAGCTGTGCGTTTCTTAAGACGACTAAACCTGAATGTTTCTAGTTCTAGATCTAATGTTAATTCTAGTGACAGTGGTAGGTAGCCTAAGTTAGCATAAGATATCACTATATTGCATATTTTTATTGAACTAAAACTAGAACTAACTCTAGACCTAGAACTAGAAAGTATCTAGTTCTAAACTACACTACACGTTTTGCACTAGCACTATCACTAGAACTAACACAAGACCTAGAACTAGAATCATTCGGGTTTAGCCGTCTTGAGAGACGTACGGCTAAACCCGAATGTTTCTAGCCGAGTGTTAGTTCTAGTTTTACATTAGCATTATCACCAGAACTAACACAAGACCTAGAAGTAGAATCATTCGGCCGTCTTGAGAGACGTGCGGAAATATATTAATTAATAATTTTCAATATCAACGTGATAATTATTTTTCATAATCTACTTATAACTTTTTCTCTCGACGACTTAAATTATGTTTTTTGCACTTACTATTTAATTGAAAATTTAATTAATAGATTTACTTTACTAATTAGACCTCTTTAACGATACCAGATGTTCTTATTAACAATGGTAATAAAAGTTGTCGTACAAACCTTGGCAAAACATTCTGAACGATTTAAATTACTTGTGCGTGACGTTGAGTCATCCGATTGAATGACTTTGCATATCAAAGCCAAAGATTTTCCATAAATTGTACCGTTAATTGCGTGTG